ACACCCAGCTAATTTTTTTTTTCTTTTTTGTAGAGATGAGATCTCACTGTGTTGCCCAGGCTGGATTTTTGAGGATTCTTATTGTTGAAAAATTAAGATCGTAAGATTACTCAGAACATTAGAGTTTCTGAAGTAACTAAATCAATACCAATAAGGACATGCACCCAGGTTTTGTGGGGAAGAAATATGAAAGTGCCTTAAAACAATGTTATATAGTTCAAGGTGGTTTTACTCATTAATAATACTATATTATTTCAGAAACCAACAGATTACAATAAAAAGTATGAGGAGGAGGAATGGGAAATAAGGTTTGAGGTAAGTAGCAATCCAAATACTTTAGAAACTTTGGATACTTCATCAATATAAAGGATCTGATACAGGACAGGAAGTAAGAGTTTTTTTATATAGCAGCTTGAGACTTTCTTATATGCCATAGAATTCACCTTTTTAAAACGTACAATTTGGTGGTTTTTAGCATTCACTGAGTTTTGCACCCATCACCACTGTCTAATTCCAGAACATACCATCACCCCGGAAAAAGCTCTATACCAACAACAGTCATTCCCCATTCTTCTCTTCCCCAGCTTCATGGCAACCACTTAATCTTCTGTCTTTCTGGATTTGCCTATTCTGGACAATTCATTTAAATGGAATCGGATAATATGTGGTCCTTTGTCACTGACTTTTCACTTAGCATGGTGTTTTCAAGGTTCATGCGTGTTGTAGTATGTGTTAGTACTTGAGTCCTTTTTATTGACAAAATTACATTGTATGGATATATTTTGTTTATGCACTGATCTGTTGATGGACACGTGGGTTTCCATCTTTTTGTGATTGTGAGTAATGCTCATCATGAACAAGTTTTTAGGCAGACGTGTATATTTTCCCTTCTCTTGGGCATATGTCTCGGAGTGGAATTACTGAGTCTTATGGTAACTGTGTTTAACAATCTAAGGAACTCCAAGGCTTCCCTAGAGTGGCTGCACCACATTGCCTTTGCGCTAGTATTGTGTTAGGGTCCCTCCTCACCAGGTCACCATTGTAGTCTGAATCTCTAGCCATCCTAGGATATATGTGAAGTGGTGTATCACTGTGGTTTTGATATGCATTTCCCTGATGATTAGTAATGTCGAGCATCTTTTCACGTGGCTTATTGGCTATCTGTATATTTTCTTTGGAGAAATCTCTTCCTATCTACTGTCCATTTATAGTTGGGTTATTTATCTCTTTATTGTTGAGTTATAAGAATTCTTTATATCGTCTATATGCAAGTCCCTTATCAGATACGATTGCAAATATTTTCTCCCATTCCGTAGGTTGTCTTTTCACTCTCTTGATAGTGTCCTTTTAAGCACAAAAGTTTTTAATTTTCATGAACTCCAATGTATGTTTTTTCTTTTGTCACTTGTGCTTTTTGGTGCACAAAGAGTTTTAATGAATAAAACTTTGTAGTTTATTAGTAGATTTTCATTCCTGTAAATGATAATCATGAAAATAATGCACGCTTATTGTAAAGTGCTCATTATAATACTTTGTAACAAATTAGTAAAATTCAACAGTGGACAATCACTTTTTGCTGAACTTTCCTAGATTGAAATATTTTTCTGTTTTGTTTTTTGATTAG